AAAGGATGAACTGCTGGCCAATCTCATGGGCCAAGATTTAAAAGAAATTTGGGCTTAGGGAACTTAATTTCTCAATTGGCCCAAAAATAAAATAAACTTATGGGCTGGAAATTTTTTTGGAAAAAGGCTTAGAACTTCATAAGTACTAAATCGTTTTGGGACCGATATCAATCTCGATGCTCGGAAGAAAAACGCGACAACACGCATTAAAATAAAATCGGACATTATATATATAATACACAACCTAATATTATTAATAATAATAGGCAATTAAAACAATCAAATATTTAATAATAATAATAATAATAATAATAATAATAATAATAATAATAATAATAATAATAATAATAATAATAATAATAATAATAATAAAACAATTATGCAAAATAAATAATCCCAATTATTCATAAACAAACGGATCATTACAGTCTACCCACCTTACAAAGAATTCCGTCCTTGGAATTCGAAAATAAAACTAGAAAGCGATAAAATACAAAGGAGAACTCAGAACTCAAAGTTCGGATAACGCCTCCTAATCTCGGCCTCCTTTTCCCAAGTCGCCTCGGTCTCATCGTGTCGGCTCCACAGCACCTTCACCAAGCTCACTGCCCGGTTCCTCAGCTGATGGACCTTCCGGTCCAGGATAGCTGCCTGCACCTCCTCATAGGTAAGGTCTCGCTCGACCTGCAGCTCGCCGAAGTCCACCACATGATCAGGGTCATGCACATACCTCCGAAGCATCGAGACATAGAACACGTCGTGCACACCCGACAAGTCTGGTGGTAAAGCCAGCCGATACGCTAAGTTCCTGACTCGGTCGAGGATCTCGAACGGCCCAATATAGCGAGGTTTAAGCTTCCCCTTCTTCCCGAAGCGAATCACACCTCGCATGGGTGAAACCTTCAGAAAGACATGATCTCCCACAACATAAACATGCTCCTGCCTCTCCCGGTCGGCATAGACCTTCTGCCTCTCCTGGGCAGACTTGATAGTCTTTCGGATCTCCTCAACTGTCGCCGCAGTACTCTGAATAAAATCTGGACCCGTAATCCTCCTCTCTCCAACCTCATCCCAATACAAAGGGGTTCGGACCTTACGTCCATACATGGCCTCGTACGGGACCATCTTGATCGAAGAGTGGTAGCTGTTGTTGTAGGTCAGCTCGACTAGCGGAAGGGCATACTCCCAAGTCAGGCTTCGGTCCAAGACCACAGCCCTCAAAATATCCTCCAAGTACTGGATCGTACGCTCCGACTGACCATCGGTCTGGGGTGAAAGGCTGTACTGAACTCCAACCTCGTCCCCATGGCTCGGTTCAACGTCCTCCAGAACTGGGATGTGAACTTGGCATCTCGATCCGAAACAATCTCCACAGGCACTCCATGAAGCTTAACAATGTCCTTGACGAACAATTCGGCGTAATCACTCGCCTTCATGGTCGTCCG